TAGCTTCAGCTACTTACTTGCTTAGCTATTGCATGTAGGCTCACTTACCCAGCTACTACAGCCTACTCCCTCCCCAAAGATAGGATACATGTATAGCTGTATAGCAATGGCCCCCAACCTACTAGCGATGGCCTTCTGCATATACGTAGATATATATATATATAACATATATATATATATATATCAACACAATACGGCAAACATTTCTCGAGTCCACCTGGACTTGACTGCACAGCAGGGCTGCTGGCTGCCACGCTCCCAGGTGTGTTGAGTGTGGGACGGTCTGGGTCGCGGATGCGCCTGACAAATGACGAGACAAACGGTCCTAGTAGCTTCTTGTTTCAATTCTAATTATATTCTAATTCCATGTAATTCTTGTTCCTAGTAGTACGGCCAGGAACCCCGAGTAGCATCCTTGCTCCTAGTAGCGATGCCCTTTGCTCCTAGTAGCTTCTTGTTACTACTAGCGATACCTGTTTTTTTTTCGTTTTCGAAATAGTTAAGTTTCCCTGAAATCTAGGAACCAAATGAATCGTGCGAGCGCTTCCTTGAGCGCTTCCTTAAGAAGCGTTCGTCCCGCTCCCTTAGTTAATCAAGTGGGCGCCTACTTAATTAAGGGAGTGGGGGAGCGGAGAAAAAAGAACTTAACTAGTAGCGTCCTTGCTCCTAGTTGTAAGACCAGAAGCCCCTAGTAGCCTCTTGTTACTAGTGGGTACTCAAGACTAAGATCTGAACCTTCTGGTATTCGAGAGCGCCAACGGCGCAAACTCCACTCTTACTGGAGTGAACTTCATTATCCCTTGCTCCTTGTCTTTCTTTTTCTGGACCTTTCTGTATTGTTTCATGAATTTGTCTTCCTTGAATTGGCATGCTTTTACTAGAAGGCCGCTCCATCCCCGCTCCAAGCTGCTGCTCCAGCCTGGCCAAGCCCCTGGCGGCAGTGGAGGTGGAGGACGCAGTACTGCGAGGCCGCCTTTTCTCCCTCGGCAAAGCGTTTCGATCGATAAAGCGCTTTGTCTGAAAGAAAGGTCTGGAGACAAAAATACAAAGACAAAAGACACACACTTAATTTGCAGTGAGAGAGCGAAGTTCTGAGGAGGCCATCGCTATTAGGTTGAGAGACTCAAAGAAGCTCTGAGATGCCAGGCCCACTGGCCGAGCTGCCGGAGTGGCTCGAGCTCCTCAACTTCCCTGAGCGGAACTTAAATATGCTCCGTTCGTACGTAGCTTCAAGAATCTCCTAGGAGCAAAGGGCATCGCTACTAGGAGCAAGGATGCTACTAGGAGCTCCTGGCCGTACTACTAGGAACAATGTTTGCTATTAGAAACAAGAATTATATAGAATTATAGTATAATTAGAATTGAAACAAGAAGCTACTAGGACCTTTTCACGCGCCCGCGGGGGGGGTAGTATCTTGTTACTAGTAGTAAGGCCAGGAGCTACTAGTAGCGTCCTTGCTCCTAGTAGCGATGCCCTTTTCTCCTAGTAGCTTCTTGTTACTACTAACGATGGCCTCCAGCCTACTATCTTCTTGCTAATGCAAACATATGTTTTTACAATGTTGGTACAACGGTACTGAAACGTTTGCTGCTTTCATTTGTTTCTTTAGACCTTTAGACTTTATCCTTCTTTTCTTCCAGACCTGTAAGAAGTATCAACAGATTGGTTCTCCAGTTCCGAGTAGGGGTAGTGTACTACCCAAAGACTGCGTGAACAACCAACGACAGGTGGCCTCCTGCAAATGCCATAGCTGATCCTGACGAAAACATTGAAACTGTCGACGACACGACGAGCGAACGACGATGTGGAAGAATACAGACACAAAAAAGAACGGTATCTTGCAACTGTTTGTTTCCAAAACAAGACAGGAGCACGTTTTGTCCATCGTCATCAGTGTATGCCATCAAGCATGGCACATTCACCGATGGCAGAATAAGTATATGGACGTGGGCTCTCTTCAGAGTATGTAACACCTCGGGCAATGGAAGACGTAGTTTGTGGACACTATAGTGTCCTACTTGGCACTTACATAGACATTACTCGACCGCCTTGGGCAGGAATATGGGCCTTCATGGGCCTTCTAGCAGACTTACAAGGCTTTCGGTCTCTAGTCTTGTTTGGGAAACCTTGGAACTCTTACACACTTCTTGGAAGTTGATAGCTTTTTTGAATGAAAACAAACAGTAACTGGCTGTCATTGTGTTGGCTGCTCAAGGAACTTAGCTTCAGCTGCAGTTGAGCATGTCCAAAGCAAATACACAAAAAAAGGAAAAAGAGTGGTCTAAGGGTCTATTGAGTGGCCTTAGAAAAGAAAAACATACAAACCAGGTTGGAGCACATCGCTCTTACTTTGGAGGCCAATCGCTCTTGGGTTGGAGGCCATCGCTCTTGGGTTGGAGGCCATCGCTCTTAGGTTCGAGGCATGTCTTGTCGTGAATTTATTCTTGGTGTCTCACAGCGTGCTTCAGGCGGCTCAAACTGAATCCAGTTGCGTCCTTGCTCCTAGTAGCGATGCCCTTTGCTCCTAGTAGCTTCTTGTTCCTAGTAGTAAGGCCAGGAGCCCCTAGTAGCGTCCTTGCTCCTAGTAGTACACAAATACAAGTATGCCAGGCATCTTGAAAACTTTCACTGACAGAATAAATGAATCTTAAAAAAATGTAACTCAAGCGGGTGTTCGAGAGATACTTTCACTGGCAGCGCCACCCTAGTTGAAAAAGCCGAATTATCAAACGCTGCTGCGCCGACAGCTGTGGCGCAACATGCAAAGCGATCTAAAATTTCGGCAGAATAGGTCTTCATCGCTTGCTTTAAACTTTACACTCAGGAAGTTGATCTAGAACTGAGTTAAGTAGGTTGGAGGAACGCTAGTAGGTTCGAGGCCATCGCTAGTAGGTTGGAGGCCATCGCTAGTACGTTAGAGGCCATCGCTAGTAGCTTCGAGGCCATCCCTAGTAGGTTGGAGGCCATCGCTCTTAGGTTGGGTTG